AGAAACGCTGTCAAAATGCGTGTTTTGGGATATCTAGAAAGGTTCCTAAAAATATTTATAAACGGATCATAAACGGTTAAAAAGGGTTCGTTACTGGTTGCAAATGCACGAAGCGTACGCTGTCGTACTTTAATTCCGTTCATAACACACTTTTACCTTGTTATTGCATAATGCTTTCTCTTCTTTATAAAAACACATAGAAAATATTTTTCTTTTCATTCTGATCATTAACATGTCGTCGAGCAAAGAACGTGTGTTTGTGACTGCAGCAAGTGGAAATATTGGTAGGTAGTCTAGGGTCTGTACGACGGTAAGGAAAGCATTTTTCGTACAGACCCTAGACTACAGTCTAGGGAATATAGAAACGCTGTCAAAATGCGTGTTTTGGGATATCTAGAAAGGTTCCTAAAAATATTTATAAACGGATCATAAACGGTTAAAAAGGGTTCGTTACTGGTTGCAAATGCTAGAACCTTCTTTCCGTTCTTTGCCGCACCTTTATTTTTTACAGTGTACAGCACAATCAGCTATATCTTTTGTAGCGATCCAAGTCGTTGGCGACGAAGGTAATCCACAAAAGACAATTTTATCTGAATGTTTAATACTATGAACATCATGCATAAAATGATTGGACATGAAACCTCCAGGACGAAGTATAACCAGTGAACGTTGTTCAGGATTTTCATCAGCGAACATCCACAGTTTTTCTTCCGCTGTTTTATATACATATCCAATGATGCTTTTTTTACCACGAGTACTAACGATAGCTGATACTAGATCAACAATTTGCCGAGTACCTTGTTCGAAAGCAATCTTGTCAAGACTTTCTTTGATTTCGCTCATCGACATTAGTTTGTCACCAGTGTTTTTAATCAGGAGGAAAAGTCGGGTATGCCCTTGGATTGCTTTTCGGCCTGGCCAGCTAACTCTACCTGCGTACGTAATTCCGTGACGTTTTTCTGTGATTTTGTTTTATTTGGAGAAATTTTTGAAAAAGTGAGAACTTAAAAGTAAATAAACCATTTTGTAGACAATTTAATTCTCTATCGACTGACCTGATTTTGAAACGTTTTAGCGAAAATCTCTTGGTTAGGAAATTCAAAACACTGAGAGG